CTCCACCGAGAGGGCTTCGTTCGCCTACGGGGGCTCAACCAAAAAAGGAACGGGTGGAGAGGGGGGCGACGTTAGGGGGAGAGGGCAGCGAGAGGGAGGAGGAAGACAAGCGACGAGAGGGGCACGAGAGAGGGCCGGGAGGGGTTGGCGGGAGGAGGAGGAGGAGGAGGAGGAGGAGGAGAATATGAGGAAGAGCTTCAGCTACAGCAGCCTCAGGAGTAGGAGGGAGAGCGCGAGGGGGCATTGAGATCAGGAGGCTGGGAGAGCAGAAGGAGGAGAAGGAGGGGACGGAGGAGGAGGAGGGGGACAACAACGATCCCACCCTCCTTCCTTCCCTCTCAGTTCCATCCCTCTCTGCCGTCGTGGCCCTCCTACTCCTCCTCCCACCTCCTCATCCTCCTCCCCCCTACTTCTCTCACCTCCTCCCTCTCCCCCCCCTCTCCACGTCCCCCCATTTCCCCTCCCCCTCTTCCTCATCCTACTCCTCTTGTCCTCATCCCTCCTCTCCCCCATTGCCGCGCGTTTTGCATCGCCAGCCACCTGGGCTTGCAGCTGGGCCGCCATCTTCTTGCTCTGAGCGTCGATCGCCTTGTCCGCCTGAAAGCGAGCCTGCGCGATTTTCACAGCCTTGCCGCTAGTCTGCTGCACGTGATTCTTGGCCGCGACGTCCTCAGCAAGGATCATGGCCTGGTACCGCTTCTGGGCATCCCGCCTCTCCTGCTCCTGCTGCAAGGAGCAGGTGAACGCAGCGCCGAAGTTCGCCACGTCCTGCACGTTGAGCTCCGACGAAGGGGACGCGTGGACGCCGTCGACGTACGTCTCGGGCGGCGCAGCGGCCGCTGCACTGCCATCGTTGGGCAAGTCGCTGATGGCGTGCATGCTGCCCTGGCGGGACTGATCCAGGGCGCGCGTCATTGCCTGCATGAACTTATCGAGGTTCGCCCGGGAGCTCGTGTCTCCATCCTTCGCGGCGGTGGCTTTGACCCTGCTGGCGGTGACCTGATCTGCGAGGATGCCCTGGTACTCACCGATCAACCAGCAGCCAGTATTGTTGGGGTCCTCAATGACAGCGCACTGGTTGCTCATGCAGCGGCGGCGAAACTCGCTCAGCTGAGCCGGCCTCGCGGGGAAGCCTTCCAAGGCAAGATCGCGCGCGATGAGGGGCCAAGGCTTCCAGTGGACCCTGCCCCTCGCCTCCTCGCCCTCTTCCTTCTCCGAGACCATCGCGACCCTCACCAGCTCCTTGAGCTCCTCAGGCGCGGCCGAAAGCAATCCGAAAAAATAAAGGGGGAGGAGGAGGTGGAGGTGGAGGCGAGGGGGGGGGCGGGCAGCACGGGCGGAGGGGATGGCAGGGGGGAGGCGGACCAAGAGGGGAAAGGCTTGAGGGAGGAGTGGGGGGAAGCTGAAAGCGGGATGCGACGCCCCCCCCCCCCTGCCCCGGCCCCAGGTAAGAACGACGTGCAAGACCGACTCGACCGAGCTGCGCGGCCATGGTGGAGGGGTCGGGGCTGCGGGGAAGGAGGTGGGAGGAACAGGGGGGCCCTTGATTCGCACCTCTGCTCCCCTCCGTGCTCATTTATCCCCCTAGCATCGTCTCCCTCTCCTCCAGTATTTCCTCCAACAGCCACTCCTCCCTTCTCGAATGCCGCTACCATTCGTGACGCTTTGACCCGATGGTCCGGGACTCCACTCGAACGGTGGGTGGCGTGCCACTCGGTCCTCTCCGCGTCGGTTTTGTCGGTGAACCATTTCTTCAGGGCCTTGTTCTTCTTCCAACGCTTCGTGAGCGCCTTGTAGTTGTTGTGGCACTTCTCGCAGATGTCTTTCTGCGTCCTATCGCCATCTTCGTTCCTCTCATAGATGGGCAACTCGAACTGGCACCTCTTGCACTCGAACTTCTCGCACGAGCCGATCATCTCCTCGGCGTCGCCAAACCCGAAAATATCGTGGCCAGGCTTCTGAGGGGTCTCCGTCACTTTGCTGCGCGCCAGGCCCGAGCCACCGCTGGTGCCCGAGCGACCTCTGCTGGGGGACCACGCTGGAGTCGCCGCGAAGGCGTGGCCGCCAGCGAGGCCAAGAGAGGCAAGCATGCCCTGCTGATGCTGGTCAGGCCCTGGAAGCTCATGGAACGCAGGCGCCCCAGGAAGGCTGCCGCCGTGCCCCAGAGGCGTCGCGCACGATCCTGGGAGCTCGACAGTCTTGGCCCCTCCGACCCCATCTTTGTCCAACAGCCCCTCCAAGTGACCGTCCAACTCCATGTCCGCAGCGGCTGCACCCCCGCCGGCCGCCGAGAGCCCCTCTGGATTCTCAGCGCCTCCCCCAGTTTGATCCTCAACCTCCTCTGTGGCGTCCTCTGGGATCTCCTCAGCTGCGCTCGGCCCATTTGCACCCGAAGCTGCGGCCCCCCCCCACTGGGGCCTCCTCCACCGCCTCGGCCGCGGGCGCCGCAGGAGGCCCAAGCTCCTCAGCGGGCGCCCCCGTAGGCGGAGGTTCGCGCGCGGCCTCGACCCTGACCTCGGGGGCATCCTTCGGGGGCATGCCCTTCGAGCTCCCCTTGGCAAGAGCCTTGCCGATGGACAAGGCCCCGCTCGGCGTGCCTGGCGTTGCAGTCTTCGCCTTGGGCGCCATCGCGAAAGTTGCTCGCTGGGCAACTGAGCTGACGACCCCGAAAGCTCACCGAGGTACTCTGACCAAACACCCTGAACCACAAACGGCTGCGACTCAACCGCACCCAGACGCTCTGACAAGATATGCACATATGGGGAAACCCGCCTGAAATAATTGCGAGGAAGGGCTTCGGCTGGGAGGGTGCGCTGCAGCATCATTCACGCGTACTCGCTGTGCTCTTGTCATCATTCACCTCCTCCCCCTCGTCATCATCATCTGAATCGCTATATGAGCCCTCACCCTTCCTCGCTCCTCGCTCGCCCTTCTCCTCCCCCGCCCTCTCCTCATGCGCGAGACGTATCGCGGCATGTCGTTTCCTCTGGGGGGTGGGTGCCTTCTCCTCCTCCTGCTCCATCTCATGGATATACAGGCCGCTCGCGCGCGAGTGGCCTTCCGCTCGGCCCCTTCCCCTTCCCCCATTCAAATGCCCACCCCTTGTCCGCAGCGGCCGGGGAGGAGGAGGGGCGGGAGGGGGAGGGTGGGATGGGAAGGAGGGGGAAGGAGACGAGAGGAGGATCAGTAACAGAGGGGAAGGATGAGTTTTTGTTGTGCCCAAGCGCCCTGTCTCAACGAGTGACCCCCAATTCGCCGTCGCGCAGCTTCTCCGCGAACCAGATGTACCTGGGAAAAGAAATGAGACGACGACGACGACGACGACAACGACGACGACGACGACGAACCCAAGAGCACCCGTACGGGTACGGAGCCTTCCCGGGCACTGACCAAACCATGGCCACAGCAAAAGGATCCACGTCGCCGCGCCAATGGCCAGGCGCAGCGTCCCAGAACGGGACGAACCACACAGCGGGCACATGGCGCCATTGGTGGAAATACCATGCCCATGGGATGCGCCGCGGGAGCGGCAGCTCCAAGACCACAGGGCCCCACGAGGGGAGCGGGTCGGAGCCCGCGCCGGGCAGCGACGGTGCCGGTGGCACCAACTGCCACACCCGATAATACCCTAGGTCTAGGACCCCCCCCCCTCGGAATTCCCCTGGGCGGCCCCCCCGGCGGTAGCCGGGGAGGGCCCCCTCTGGGCCCGGGGGGGGCCCCCACCACGCGGAGTTCGAGAAAGGGAGGGGGGCGCCAGGGCCGCTCCAGTCCACCATCTTGAGCCTAAACGGCTAAAAGGAATGGGAGGGAGGAGACGAAAGAATAATATCGGGAGCTGGAGAAGGAGGAGCAGCAGCAGCAGTAGCAGGAGGGGAGAGATAAAGAGGATGAGGAAGGGGAGGAGGGGCTGGCCCCTGGGGAAGTTGGGTAGGATGAGGAAGAGGATGAGTACGCTTGAATAGGGCGAGGAAGAGGATGATAATGAGGAGGAGGAATGATGAGAAAGAGGACGGGCACGCGTGGATAGGTCCCTCGGAAGGCTCCAGGGGAGAGCGCGCGTAGATGCGGGGATGCGTGCACGACGAGAGCTCTCTCGCTCGGTGGACCCGAAAACAGCGTGCCCCCAAGGGCGCAGAGACGCCCAGTAAACAGCGTGCCTAAGGGGTCGCCCCGCAAACACTGCGCCGCAGTGGGCCTCATGGGATGGGCCAGAGTGCCTAGCACTGATTTGGGGAACTAGGGAGCGATCCTGCTCGTCGTGATCCTTCTGCCCTCCTCCCCCGCATCACCCTCCGCTGCTCTCCCTACCTCCTCCGCGCCCTGCTGGCTCTCCTTCCCATTGCCTTCCTCTTCCCTCTGACTCCTTGGGACAGTCGCTGGGCGCGCAGGAGCCAGGAGGGCGGTCGGCGCAGGCGGCTGCCCACCGGCCCATAGTGAAAGTTGTCACTGCGGGTGCCCAAGCTGTCGTGCAGGAGCGCCGCAGCCGGTCGGAGGTCGCCCTCCCCTCAACCCCTATCCGTTTCCACCGCCACCCCCCCTGCTGATTCGACCTCTGCGTCGGAGCACATGTCCTACTCCTAGGCTCCCCATGTGAAATGCATCCAGTTTCAGATATTTCTGATGGCCCCCTAATCTTCCCCCCAACTCACCCCCTCTCATATCCTCTCCTCCTCCCATTCCTCATCGACCTCCATCATTCCGACGCTGCTCACACTTCCAGAGCCTAGTTGTCAACATTCATCGTGCCATCGTCTTCCTAGTCAGCCTGCCCTCGGAGCCCCCCATCCCCGTCCGCGATGTCGCAGACGTTGCAGGGCACCCAGCCCCAGCCAGCTTCGCGCGCAGCGCGCTCAGGAGCTCCGATGCCTCCCCGGGCGCATGAGGAGGGGAGGCGGCCCTGGGGCTCGGCGAGAGGGGAGGCGACCCTGAGGGGAGGCAGGTCGAGAAGAGGGGAGGCGACCCTGAGGCGAGGAACAAGGGGGAGCAAGTGATGGCGAGAG